GCTTGAACCCTTGTGTCCCGTTTGCTTGTACTGTTTCTCTGCTAGCCGCTGTTGCGTGATTTTATTTTTTTATTCTCCCTTCAACGGCGGTGGCTCGTTCTCGATAACTTTGTCGACGAATCGTCGGCTATTTTTAGTCAGAACTGTCCAATTTTCGAAATTGTTCAACGAATCGAAGGATCTTCCTTGTGACTTTTTCTTTCAATTTCGATTTTATAATAAAAAACCATCGGTAATAATATTGAAAAATAAAATAGAAATGTATTTCATATTGAAAGATATTCGATTTAATATTGAAAAATAAAATCAAAATGTATTCAGCGTTAAAAGAAATTCAATTTGAAACGATTTGGTGCTTGCTCGTATTCTACATCGCGAATGGAGAATCGTGAGAATGAAATTTAAACTGTATTTTCGTATATATATATGTGTTACACCGATGAACATTCCGAATAGCGGGAGTTTCGATGAAGTTTTACTTTCGTATCGTTTGAACGTTGGATCTAACTGTTTACAAAAGAAAGCAACGACGAATCGATCTTCAATGTTTCATTGAAAACGCGAGGAACGAACCAGGAACGAATAGATAGTTTGAAAAATGTACTTTCAAAGTGTAGGGATAGGACACGGTTGGACAGACCTGTTCCACAAGTGATCGATTAGTGCAATTATCGTTAGTGTTTCGAGGGTAGTTAAAGAATTGTAAATAAGTGTTAGGTAATGCGCGCGAGGTATCGACGAATTATAAGTGAAAATAATTTCCAAAAACGAGGGAAGAAGGAATTAGAAGTGCCTAAGTATAATGAGCTGCCGCTTTCTCACATGCTCGTAGTGAACATAGGAGTTTGTTTTTCTTTTTCTTCTTTAATGTTACCAAAAATCGAGTGCTTTATTAATGTTCAGTAGCGCGATAATTGAACAGAAAGGAGGGCAGGTGAAATCCCTTTCGCGCGAGAAATGATCGTCACGAAAATCGGAGGAAAGTAAATTTATTATTACCCAACTCTTCCGGAGTGATGCGTATAACGGTGATCAAGATAAAGTTTAAGACCGGTACTTCCCGATTCGCGGTTTATTTCGTGATAATTAACACTAAAACTACCAGATGGGTCAGAATGGCCAATTCTTGATATCTTCTTTTTGCAATTATTAAAAAGATAACAGATGCTTCCCTGAGAAATTATTAAAGAAATTGATTCGGCAATACGCAAACGGAATTGTAAATCAATTGAAGCCTCGATAGACGCACAGTTGGAGTTTCTACAGAGAAATTTCAAGAAGTCAATTTAACTGGTCGGTAGTTTTAGTGTTAAACGTTTCAGAGTCATATAGTGTTATACCTGAATGTCCATAGAGCTAAAATAGCAAGTTTGAGAAGTGAAAAACTTAAAAAACTGAGAAATTGCAATTTACTCTTTGACAACGAGTGACACCATATTGTCTATATTAGGTTTTCTATCCAGCATCAAAAGTTTCAAAGATAACTTGATTATTTAGGGAAAGAAAGATTAAAACACTGTTTCTCTTTTCCAAAGTTTAAGAGTTGTCAAATTTAGCAGTTTATGGAACAAATGTTTAATACATTGAAAAATTCTAGTCTGCAAAGGGTTAAACCAACATTTTTCGAAAGAACTTTTTAATGTTTTTGTTTTGTAATGTTTTTTTTTATTCTTGTACCAATCGTTACTACGGCTTAACACGAAATAATCCGACTCTTGTTTTATTTATTGTCCGAAAAATGCTGACTCAAATTAAAATCATTTTTGTCGCCGCCTCTACTTTTAAACTTTTTTTTGACCCCTACTATATACGTATGTACCGTGTATACACATTATTGCATTTAGTGTCATGTATTTTGAGAACGATCGCCATTTGTATTTTTATTTTATATACGTATACAGTGAAACACGGATCAGTGCGACCATTTACCCAGGGATTAACGTTGACGGAACGTTTTATGTAGTTTTCTTTTGCATTGGATATATACTACTGTCGCTCAAAAATATTTTACCTCTTAAGCATTATTATTATCCTCTCAATAGTATTCTGAAATATAGAAACATATAAGATTTTAGAAACTCTTTATCTTACTATTTTACGGTATATTTGTTATATTAATTGTTTATAGTGTATTTCCATATAGATTCCGTAATTTAAGTATATTATAATTAACATTTAAATAAATTAAGTTACACACGATAATAGAGTGTAGCAATAAATATTCTTATAAACAATAAATTCGCATGTGTCCCCATTCTTTCAGCGTCAGTGTATATAAAATAATGTAGAATTTTGTTTTTATTAAAATCAATACAAGCAAGTGTAATGATTTTCGTGAATCTCGACCCTGTCGCGCTAATCCGAATTTTACTGTACCTATATAGGTGTGCCATGATATATAAAAAAAGAAATATATATATATATATATAAATATATACAAATGACGAAACTAGTGAATTATATGGAGGCAATTATATAATAGATATATATTATATACATTCTATATAAATAAATAAATAAATGATATATACATCGTTAATGTATTAAAGAAAACAAGCAACGTGGGGTTTTTACAGTTTTAACATCCGCAGAATATTGCGTTTTTAATCATTAGAATGCATACATTGAACATGTGTAATCGTTATTTCTAGTACAACCAATTATGCCTTATACATTTATTATTATTATTATTATTATTATTATTATTGTGGAATGTTACAAGTTGTATTTTTATATTATATTATTATTGCTTTATTCTTACTATTAATTATTATTAGTAATGGTAGGTATAGCGACGACGACCATTATGTAACGAATATTATTTTATTATAATTATTACATTACATCGGAATTTCAAAAAATATACATATTAACCGTCTTACATTCAGGAAATAAAGAATTTTTAACACTCCATCGTGATCTCGTTCGTTGATGTACGATCAGAATGTGCGAGAGAATGTATCTACGAACATGGTTTTTTTTCATTTCACGTCGATGTTCATTGTTCTCGATAATAATTGATTCCTTCGAGTTTTCGTTCGATGTTTTCAACAAGATCGACGGTCAGATGTCACTGGAGACAAGTTAACGCCCGCAATGAAATGTACCATGCACGAGAACAGTCAACCTCCGAGACTTTACGTTTCGTTTTTCCGTTCCTTCGTTTTTTTCGCGAGGACTGCGTTTCACAGTGAGCTGTTCGGTTTATCTCTTGTCTCTTGCAACTTTTTCCTTATAAACCTCGGCAAGGTGAACGCGGCCCGGTGGATTTGATCATCGTAGTACTTTAGGCTGATTTCGTCAAGTTCGTTGTCACTGAAGACTTTCTTTGGCTCTTTGAAGTTCGTTTCCTGAAACGATTAATTTCCATACCCGTGAGTAATCGATTCATTTCCCTATACACTCGTTTCATATGAACTCATTGAAGCGAATACTAATATTACAATCTTATTAGTAATTAGTAATTATCTTTAATTCGAATTAATAATAATAGTGATTAATAGTCATTAATATTCACCATTGTAATTAATAATAATTAATATTAGTGTTTAATTAACTTAAACAAATATTACAACTACCAACATTAATTATTACCAAATACAATAACCAATAGTAATTATTATTGATTTTAATTATCAATATTAATTTTAATTAATTATAATTATTAGTATTTTTAAACAACTTTGCGACATTTTTAGACTAACGAAATACTACATCATAAAAGCTTCTTTTCTTGAGTTTCTCAGAAGTAGAAGTTACACCACTACTATTCCGAGCCACGCACTTCTTTATCAATCATTATATATTTGTTCACCATTATACGTGTGTTAGAAAATATTCATTTCCTTTTTTGTTCAAAAAATATTTCATTGGATAATATGTGAAACTGGTAGTTGCACTACTTATTCCACAATCATCGTGTATACTCACAGAGCTTAAACTGCCAAGTACAAAGCCGATTTGTCCCGTAGGATACGTTGGTACGGCCGCGATTCCATAAGACGCAACCGGAAATACTGATTTACAATGCCGGAGAGTTTGCGCCACGTGTTCGAGATTGGTCCACGCTGTTCCAGCCTGGCTGCAAACGATTCCGCCGGGTTTCAACGCAGTTCTCATTAAACTGAAATACGATTCGTGGAACAGACACTCTGCTGGCCCTGTTTCAAAGAACAAACGTCTAATGAAAGAAAAATAATCGATGTAATAAAATTGTATTCCTAAAGAACGACGAATTCTATTCAGTGGTTGAATGAAACTTTTCATTTTTACAAAGAAAAGTTGCTCATCAAAATTTTAGCCTTTAAATCATTCCTTCCCTGTCTTCAATTAATAAGTTATAAGTTAGTTGAATTATAAGAGTTCCGACCGTGCACGGTATAAACAATCAAAATGGGACATTTAATTTAATTAGCCATCCATAACTAAGGAATGCACAATACAATCATATACATAGGAAATCATTTGCATAATTTAAAGCAATTGCCAATGACATAATGGGGTTGACCCAACTTAAAATATACAATAAAAGAAACCTTCTAATTATATTCAATTTAATTTATTCATACTTCTGTTTTACTTCCGTTCAAAGCGAATTCTATTCGAAATTACTAAAAAGTAATTAAATGATATTAACACTAGAACTAGCGCGCGTTTAACATTCATCGACTCGCACGTTTCATACAAAACAAAGATGAACAAGTTAGATGATACATTTTTCTGTGGAAACAGAAAGAAAAGAGAAGACGAAAATTGAAAAACTGATTAATTGGACAATATAGGAATTGATATAAAATTAATATTTGTGTTAATATGATTAATATGTAATCTTTATAGAAATTGTCACAATAGATTTGCTTCGGTTTCTTCATATATTTGTATAGTATTCAAGTGAAGCTATTTATTTCTAAGATATCGATAATTGCGAAATAAAAGAACTGAAACCAGTCATTTTGAAGGGTGAGATAATTCTAGTGTTATCACCTTGAACTCGGAAGTTTTTACGCCAGATATAATTATTTCCCAATGAAGTATTAATAGTATCCTTTACGACTAACATAAATATAAATAATACTCGAATGAAAGCATAAAATTATTCCATTTGGGCATTTCATTTATAATTTCATTATATGAACTTTGATATTGAATATCAAACTTTATAGTTTTGCTATATCAAATTAAATGACGACTGTAAGTCTCCTTTCAGGTAGGAGGGATTAATAGTTAACTATTTAAGTGCTATTAAAATTTGCTAATTTTTCTACGAAATTTTAACTATTTAACTGCATTTGATGAGTATATACGTCATTTTAAAGCTTGCAATGAATCTAATTCTTTCAACGATGAATTATGTATTTTTTCAAATAAACATGAAATTCTTCTTTGTTTTGATTTGATTTTTCATTCAAATATACCGTAGGTGCATTCATCATACGTTTAATGAGTACGCTTCATTTTTTTACTTCATTGCATGCAAAGCAAGAGATTTTTCGAACTAAATTCCATGGTTAACAGGTCAATCACAAATCTAACACGACGTTATAAGGTAAAATAGAAAAAAAATGTTGAAACTAAATTCCACGATTAACAGGTCAATCACAAATCTTACATGACGTTATAAGGTAAAATGTTGAATAAATGTAGCTCACCAACGGGATCGCTGCTGTCTGTGATAATAATGTCGAATTCTTCCTCGCACTGCTTCAGAAATTCGAAACCATCGCCCACGATTAAGGTGACTTTGGGGTGATCAAGTCCGGCGCCCATTACGGGCAAGTATTTTCTAGACACTTCAAGTACTGTCGCATCGATTTCAACTTGAACAATTCTCTCTACATCAGGATGCTTCGCCACCTCCCTGGCGACCCCACCATCACCACCACCAACGATTAAAACCTATCACAAATTGTGAAAACTGTAAGTTAAGTAAGTTGAAATTGGAATTTATAAATCTGAAAAGAAAAAGAATTGAATCGTTTGTGTATGAGTAGCTCGGAATAAACTATTATTTCACTACTTTCTATTTAGTGATAATAGATATTATTTAGTTATATTAACCCTTTGCACTCGAGCGGCGCCTTTCAATCACCATTTGATTTGACCGAACAAAATGATCAAATTTAGAATTCAATATCAAATTTTATATAATGTATCGACATATGGAACATCGAAATAAACTAGTTCTGTCACTTAATTTATACAAGGCATTTCTTTATGTTAGTTGTAAAACATATCATTCATATTTAATCAGAAAATAATGAATATTTGTTGAGAAAAATATTCTCGAGTGCAAAAGGTTAATACTTTCTATTTATCTAGTAATAATTACATTCAAAATCTTATTATTCGCCTTGTAATAATTCAATTCCAAATATGATTACTTATCTCGCAGTGATTTAACTTATATTTTTGTATTTTCGAGAAGAAAAGCTTTTATCGAAAGTTCTCATATAAAAAACAGTATTACAATGTTATTAATAATAATTAATATTAGTACACTTACTGATCAAAAAATTAGGACCACCATAAGTTCTAATATTTTTCACGATAATCATAGCGCTGAAAGTCCAAAAGGTAATTTAATAATAATTTCTCCGTGGCAGTGCTAACCCTTCGCACTTCAGGAGTTTTTCATTGGAAATACTCAATAATTCCTAATGAGATATAGACGACATTTTCTGAAACTGACTCAACGAGAAATCGCATATAAATTAAGGAACAAAACTATTTTATTTCAATATTGCACGTATTGATATTATACAAAGTTCAAAATTACATGTCAAACTTTACAATTTTGCTGTATCAAATCAATTGGCAGCTGAGAGGCGCCTCTGGTGTGTTAAGGGTTGAGACCAAGAGTTAAGCAAAGAAATTAAGCCAGAATTATAGAAAATTAATATGAGGAAACGACCAGAAAAGAATCAGATTGCTGATTCATTGCTAATCTTCTCAAAGATGACATCAATGATGGCCCTAATTTTTTGATCAGTGACTGTAATTGTGGTATTAATATTTAATCAATCTAAAAATATTTCATAAAAGCGTTTTTTCTTAAGAATTCAGAAATGGGAGTTAGATCACTATTATTCTGAGCCACCCATACTGTATAAATATTCGTTGCTGATTTTCTCATAATATTTTATCATTTTTTAGCATTCAGGTAAACTACTTGGAATACGTCTTCTAAAATTTTACATTTTTTGCAAGATTGATAGCTTTGTATATTTCAGACACAAACGAATCCGAATTAGATAACAATTTATTAATGTCGATACTAATGTTTTAGAATCGTTATGTAATATTTAAGTTAATAATCTAAATGGAGTCTTACTGTTTTTGGATTTGGATGACTGCATAATGGTAAAAAGGCAATTGACTCCTGGTATGAAAATTCATCTTTTTCTGTGCATTGTATGATGCCATCTAAGATTAAAGCCCTTCCATGTGATTTCCTACGCATATGTGGAAAATATTTCCATTTTAAAAAGAATTCCCATTACTTTCTCTTATCTTTGTTATTTAAAATTCCTTTAAAAACAAAATTATTTCAGAAACAGATACTATTTGTGTATACGAATGCATTCTTCTTTTTCCAAATCGAAATAAATTAGAATAGTATTTTGAATACATAAAGATATTTTAATGGGAAAGAAATTCTAATTACTCATTAATAACGATTTCACAACCAATTGAAAATTTTAAAATTGCATTTATCAAAATTTCGATTGATTTATATTTTAGAATACAGGTGAGCAAATCAATATTATTTAAAAATTTCTCAAAAGAACATCTGTGTCTTGCTAGTAATTGTAAAAGATTGGAAATTGATTATTTTGAGTTGTTTGGTAGTTCTATCGATAATATTGCTTATTATCTATTTTGTAATAATTAAATTCTGAATCTTAATATTCATCTCATAATAATTAAATTCCAAATTTTATTATTTGTCTTGTAATAATTATATTCGAAATCTTATTATTTATCTGGTAATCATTAAATTCCAAATTATATTATTTATCTCGTAGTGGTTAGATTCTAGATTTTAATATTTGTCGTTTAATAATTAGATTCGAAATCTTATTATTTATCTGGTATTAATTAAGTTCCAAATATTATTATTTCTCTTGTAATAATCAAATTCTAAATTTTCATATATACCTTGAAACGATTAAATTCTAAATCTTATAACTTATCTCGCAGTAACTAAATTCTAATTCATATTATTCACTTTGTAATAGTTAACGTCCAACCCTATCGTAGTAATCAAATTCTAACTTCCATTGTTCATTTTCGAACAAATAAATTTATAAATTCTCTTACTTATCTTATAATAAATAAATCATAAGTCATATTATTCATCTCGCAATAATTAAATTCCAAATCTCGTGTCTTTCTCGATGCCATTCGCGAACGTCAAGTTCCATTTTTGCCGAGAGAAACGAATAGATATTAATGACGGGTGACAATCAATATTTACGTTTCGAGCACCATTACATCTTGGTACGGCGATCGTTCACGGTGAAGTATTTTGACAACCTCGAGGGACAACGAGACACCTGGCCACAGATCATTGATTTCACTGAACCAGCCAGGCTTTATCGTGTCCATCTTCTCCAACCGTCGGTCGTCGTCGGGGCCTCCTCTTCTGTGATATTCAACTGAAAGTAGAGACTGTGTGTCGGTCGGTTAATCGTGGAAGAGGAAAATAAAACCGCGAACTTTTTTATGCGGTCAAACATGTTTCTGTACGATGGCCACGTCCGCCACCGCCGTCTGTCCAATCGTAACTTAACGCATACAAGTCAGACCATGAAAATTCGTCATTTCACAGACAATTACCAGCGAGCGACCCAGTTAACGAACATTTCTCATGTATATGTAAACCATTCTTGTTTGTTTTTTTCAAATCTAAGTGAATCAAGATAAAATTGTTACTGAACAGAGATATTTCTATGGAAAATTGTATGTAGAATAGACGTGATCGCTTAGAAATTGTGTAATTCTTTTTGTATAAAGTACAGTTCTTTGCATGCCGCGTGAAAAAATGCCGGGCTCTGGACGACGTCGGTGCAAGAAATACTTCGGTGCCTGGCGAATGCGTGTTCACGTAAAACCACGGCGAAACTCGTTTGTCACACGTGTATTCGTGCCCGTAGCGATTCGTGGACTCGTAACATACATTATTTCACGTGCATTCCCTCCACTTTTCTAACATCCACGTTTTTTACTTTTTATTGTTCTTCTGCTCTTTCGTCCTTTATCTCTTTTTCTTTCTTTTTTCCCTTCCTTCTTTCTTTCTTTCTCTCTTTCTCTTTCTTCTTTTTCCATTTCCTTTTCCTTCTTCTTTTTCTTTTCTCTTTCTCTTTCTTCTTTTTCTTTCTTTTTCTCTTTTCCTTTCTTCTTTTCTACCTCTTTTCCTCAACGAAATGCATAATAACTTTCTTTTTAATTATTCAGCGCACTACCGATACGTCTAATAGAATAAGTTTTAGAAAAAAACACATTTATTATACTTTCTGAGTTAAATACACAGTTAACCCTCGCATCTCCCTACGGGACTAAATTAAGAAATTATTTAAAAGTTCGATAAATAATTTTTATCTACAAAATGTAATAGTTTCATTTTGAACTGGTGGTGAATCAAAGTCGAGAAATTGAAAAATTAGATTTTTGAAGAATCTGCATTCGTTGCACCACGTTCCAAGTAACTTAGAGGCATCGAAGAAACAGCTGTTAGAATGTATTTATTTTCCTACCAGAACTAATGCCTTACAACATCGGAATCGCTACAAATTCGAATTCCGACACGTTTAACCGGACGTGATCCGAAGACAATCGGTTCACTACAGGGGTCGAATGAAACTGTTAACTTTTGTAAACAAAAATTGTTTATTGAACCTCTAACTTTCACATCATTTCTTTTCTATTTTCTGAGGTTTGTACCTTGAAACTTTAACTCTGTTATAAAAGTTCAATTTTAAATTCAATTCAATTCTGGACAGTCAAATGCAGAACTTACGAATATTTACATTAAAATTACATTAAAATGAGGATATATTTAGAAAAGGAAACACGTTGCGAGTTTCATACATTAGAACTCCACCGCACGTTTCAAGTTCAAGGTTGCAACTTCAGATGTATCCGCAACATTTCCAAGAAATCTGTCCGTCATAACTTTAATTTCTTCAAACAAGAATAACAATATTGTTAACAATACTGGTTAACGGAAGCTTCTTTCACTGTCAAGAAAATAAAAGTTTCTTATTCGCATAGAAATGTATGCAATGAAATCTCAGTTGGTACACTGCATTTTATAACAATCTTCCCGAAACAGAAACAATAATAAACATAAAACTACAGTCATTTCCCAATGAACTGAACATTCGAATAATTCCAAACTTCCACAGTTTTGATTTAACCGAAATGTTAATCTACTGTCAAGAAAATAAAACTGTCTTATTCGCACAAACAAATACAATAGAACTTCCAGTTAGCGCCCCGTTTTTCTATAACAGTTTCTCCAAACAGAGAAGGTACCAGTGATAAAATTACAGTTATTTGCTAATTGAAAATTTGAATACTTTCAAACTTCCCAAGTTTTATTCAAGAAAATCAAAGTTTCACACAAAAACAAATACAATAGAACTTCCAGTTACCACGCTGTTATTTCTTAACAGTCTAGGTTAGGTAATTATAAAATTACAGCAATTTCCTAACTAGTTGAAAATTCCGAATAGTTCCATTCGACCACTGGTCGACGACCGATAAGAATTTTTACGACGAGCGAGACTGCGTCTCGTTTCCATTTTCGAAGGCCGCACAAACATTCTGCGTGCACTACGTACCGTGAACCGGCGACGAGTCCGCGACAGACCTAGACTGAATCGCGAACAAGACTGACGAATGGAAATTTAATAAGTATTTGCTTGCCCGCAGGATGGTCGCACTTATCAACCTCTATTCCCCGTATACTTCATGATAATGGTGTTTCCACCACGAGCAAGATAACCGCGTTTGTGTTTCGATGAACTGCTTGGCTGCAGTCCCAGAAATCGTCTCTCGCAGATCAACATGAAATTTTTCAAAAAATGTAGAGGACGAAACATCAAATCTTAATTTTGCTTGTTTGTCAGTTGCCGAGACATTTAATTAAAATTGTTTCGGTACGATACATTGAATTTCAGTTATATGGGCGCGACTAATGCCGATACTAATGTAGTAGTGGTCGTCGGTGAACCGATGACACAACAGCTACTTATATCGGTCCCAGTATCTATAGGGTGTCCCATCTAAATTCGGTCCCCTTTTTAAACAATACGATAAAACCTTTATTATTCGAGAAAACGGTGTATTGTTGTCATTTGTTTTCCTGCAGCGTTTGCGGCTTTCGACGCAGTAGACACTGCACCGGCGTGGCGCGAGTGGCAATTTGAACGTAACTCTGTGGACGCATTGTTACTTACTGATAGAAGATCTTACTGTGACAAGATTTGAAATGTATCGAAATAATTATTAAGAATTATCTCGTGTTTCATGACAATTTTGTCCAAGGGACTGAGTATTGTTTTAACAGAGGACTAAAATAGCGCTAAAATAAAAAAAGAAAAGAAAGAGGAATAGTGTAATACATAATTAATAGCATTGTATTAACTAAAACTTCGATAAACTTTTGTATGAATAAGAAAGCGGTGCCAGCGTCGTTTGAAGCAAATGATAAATACTTAAATAACGGAATAATAAAAGAATAAATTTTAGTCTCAATTACAACCTCAAGCGAGGGTTCTCGCTTCAAATTGGGCACGTGTTACGTGACACCCTGTATACATCTTGTTTTTATGTATCTTGACCAAACTTTGAAAGATAAAATATATGTAGAATTAGGACACCGTGGCAGGCTTTAATATTAACAAGAATTTATTGAACTAAATAATTAACAAATAAAACAAGTGTACATCTACCGTATATTAGCTGAAGAATCCTTTAAACTACGTTGTCTTCTTCTCGCTTATACTTTCTTCGCTTATCCTGTCATACTACCTACTGCTCAACTTCTACGCACTTTTAACGTTAACCCCCAATTACTCTTTTTTTCTTCCACATGCATCCCTTCTTACTTGCACCCTGTTGCTTGCATCCATAGCTAGCATTCACTCAGTTACGTATACACTTTCAAAATCACGTCATTCTCATTGTCCAATCGCTCAGTTCTAAACATTCTTTCCTTGCGAATCTTCATCCACTCAAGATTACCCTGTCTTCAGTCACGCTTTCCCCAAACATACTGGCGCCACCCCGTCGCATTATGACACCAACCACGCACTCAACCAGTCATCCATTCATACCTTAACACTAAAACTACCAGATCGGTCAAAATGACCCATTTTGGGCCTCTTCTTTCGCAATTATGGGAAAGGCACAGACAATTTTCTTAGAAATTATTCAAGAAATTGATTTAGATAAGTACAAACTAAAATATAAGGAAATTGAAAACTCAATAAATATATTTTTATAAGTTTTATAAGAAAATGCAGAACATTAAATTTTACTGGCCGGTAGTTCTAATGTTAAAAACTAAACAATAACGTTACGTCTCAACCGATCGACAAACCCTTGAATTGCGGGTGATCGTTACCTGCGTCGCATCGCATTTTTCATCCCTATACTCGGCCTTTCCTGCTAGATCTTCGCCCTCGAAGATTACACTAACTGTCCTTTTCTCGTGACACTTGACCATTTTCATATCCTTCACTGTGGTATCGATTATATACGGTTCAATTTCTGAAAATTGCTCTTTCTTCAGCAACTCGATACGAGGACATGTTACTTTACAATGATAATCAATGTATTTACTGAAATGTCTCATCGGACCTAGAATACTTTGAATACTTTGTTTATTTTCTGCTTTGATTTTTTATAGGTATTCTACTCCTATTGTCGGAAGTTCGCGTTTATACCAGTCAATTGATAACCTATTTTTCTTATCTACCTCTAACGTTTCGTCTAAATTCTTAATTGTTTGTGTAAATGTGATTTCTTATCTCATTATATTTCGGAAATCTTCGTCTATAAATTGAAAAGAATTCGTTGGGCTGACCGATAAACTAAATACTGTCTTTAAAATTCCAAATTGTTTGTAAAAACGTGACAAATGATACAACTTCTTTACTTTCTTTCACTATCGGTACCTGGCAAAATTCGTTTCTCTTAAGAACTATAGTTACTGGTTTTGCGTACTCACTCTTACTGGGTTTAAGTATACCATTCCTTAATAGTTCTCCCATTTGTTCATTTAGCACATCTTTTCCCTTTTCTCCTTTCGTGTTGACATTATTCATTGAATTATATTCCGCCACTACTGTCTCTAATTTGTATTTACTTTGTCCCTCAACATTTAATCTTGTTGCGTCACTGCACGATACCTTCACTAATTCACTTGGCACTATCACTTCTGCATTTTCTGCGCCTGCTTTTTTGTCTTTCTTCTCCTCGTCCTTTCTTTCCTTATCGGTGATTTCGTCAGTGGAAGCTTTAATTGCCAATGGTATTTTCTCTATTTTGTTATTTTCCCTTGTCGTCATTGCATGTCAACGTTCGCTAAAAAATCCTGTCCTACCATCACATTATGTGGTATAGAGTGAGACGGAACTGCGGATATTGTGAGTTCGTACGTTTCTCCGTCAGTCTTGACGTCATCCATAAATATTACAAGAACTTGTATAATTGCATTGTTCGCACCTTTGATACCGGTATGTCTTTTTTTAAATGTCTTTTTTACTGGTAAACTACTTATTCTTTATACTTTGCTTTCATCATTAACGAAAATTCACTTCTTGAGCCGATTAGGACTTCGCAGTTTACGCCCTTCACTCGAATCTCTTGCGTAATTTTCGTTCGCGTGATATAGTTTACATTTGCTGTGTTTGACTTCTGATATTTCAGTAAATCTTAAAAATAACCAAGCTTGACCCCGTAGATGATAACGTCATGGTACGCTTTCCCCTTAAAGTCCAGTAGTAATAGTAATGAATGTCACGGAGTATTTTCTCCGACTTATTATGATGCACGCACTAATGCGACTATTTTCATTGAAACGACAAACAATAAACAGCAGCACGTGTGAGATTACAAAAGTCTGGCCTTGACATGTTGCGTCTCGGACGAAATGATTTAGCCACAGATCTGATTCAGCGTTCAAATTTATTAATCTAATGTGTTATCGAAAGGAATTTACTTTTAAAGTTGATTAACAATCGAGACAGATTAATTTCGTAATTTTGCTTATCTTCCATTAGAGATTACCAAATCTTTATGCAAAATAAAAATTTCCCGAAATAACTTAAAGAGACACGAATCACGCAGAAACTGATTTCTTCGTTCATGAATCTTAACGAATCGAAAATAAACTAACAACATCCTTAAAATCTTATATACATTTTTCCGCTTCATATTCTATGCACTCGTATATGTCATAAGTGCATCAAATTTACTGATTATTCCATTCATTGACTATTAATCAGAATAAAGCAATAAACTTTATTTTTCACGTGTTATTATATTCGTATACAACGGGATGATCCTACAGTCGGATTTATGAATGAGAAAAATAAATTGAAAATAGTATAATTAGACTCAACTGATAATTATACTTTCGTTAAAGTGAAATACTATGCGTTCTAGGAAAAAGGGAACAAGAAAAAATTAATGTCAATTACTAATTTATTAATATTAAAATATTTCATTAACACGTAATCTTTTACTTTATATCATGAAAGTGAAATTAACCCTATAGATATTGTTATTAGAAATTATAAACTACGACATTATATTTAGGAACTCAATGACTCGTTTCAGTTTCATTTTTCTAATATTTTGTTTAAAAGATTTATTATATAAAAAAATATTATAATTGAGGGGACCGTCGCCGAAATAAGCGCTGGTAGCGAACGTGTTTAAATGAATGCATTATATTTCACAAATTTTTCTTATTTTGATTAGATGAAGATTAAACTGAAGGAGTGAGATTAACACTGAAAGATTAAAGTGCTGTTTATGGGGTCACATATTTCAAGATAATATTTTATCTTAAGAGAAATATTTGATGTAATGTCTATAGTTCGTATGTTTGAACATGCTACTGTAATTTTCGAGCAAATTTTCACGTTTCCCTTTATCTCTGTATATTTTCAAAAATGTAATAAATATAAAAAATGTTATTACAATAAAAATTTAATAATTCTAATGGTTTGCCTCACAAATTTGTTAAATATTCGCGCTTCAAATAAAATTCTTTTCTCTAACTACCATATCTAAAAAATTATAAGGCAATATTATCAGAGAAGATTTTTAAAACATTTAAGATTTGTAATTCTCCTAGTGTCAAAGAGTTTTCAAGAAATAGAACTGTTTGTCTAATTTAAATTTATCTATAGGTCACTGCCAATATTATAATTTGACACAGTTCCTAGATTTCCTATAACCCTCAATGCTACCAATACTGAAATTATTAGGTACTACTGCAAGGAAAACTTCAAAAACCCCTATTCGGATTAAAATGTGCGAGCATTATCCTGATCTAACCTTTCTCGAATATTTGTTTCTCCAAAACCTAACAGAGAAAATAAATGCTTGATTCCGAATTATTTTCAATTGATCGTTAGATGTTAACTTTATAATTTAAAAATAATACCGTTCTAAAAGCTTGTACAATATGGCAATGCTCGCAGAACCACGTCGGAAACAAAAGTGGACCTTAAATCCACGAGGAAAACAATGGAGCGAAGGTATATAAATATTTAAAGTTACTTTATTCATTAATACTTAATTAATATTTTTTTGGTTAATTTTATCAACTTCTGTATATTTTGTACAGATTCAGAAAAATTTGGGCAAAAAATGTTGGAGAAAATGGGTTGGTCAAGCGGCAAAGGACTTGGTGTGAATGAACAGGGTGTAACAGAACATGTGCGCGTGCCCTTCAAAAACGATACAGCAGGTAGATTTGCCTTTTAATTTTTTTATATTTGATATTAGGGATAACAAACCAATTTAATATATTGACTACCATGCCATCGATCATTACCGGTGCCTACAGCTTCCAAATTGCTTGAGAAAAATTACAATAAGAAAATTCATGTCCAATAGAACTATTTAGTAACATAAGTAGCTAAATAATGTAATATGAGGACTGTGGTACCAAATCATTAATAATTATTTCTAATACTATTTGCTTTTATTATGAAAGAATAAATTATTATACAGAACACTAAAAAATTCTTATGACAGTCAATATATTAATGAAGCTTATTACTTTGGCGATGTAATAAACCAATGAGTATTAATAGTTATGTAAATGTGTAAACTTGAAAAAAAGATACAGACGTTTTTGTATCTGTTATAATGATAATAAATTTGTTAATAACGAAGTAATTAAATATAATAGTGATAAATGTATTACATTTAGGAAAAGAAGGAATATGAAGTATTATCTATAAACATTATTTTATTTGTAAAAATGTATTAAATGTTAAAGTAATATTTTGTGTATAAATATGTTAAAATCAAAAATATTTGTTTATAATAGGTATTGGATTTAAGAGAGACGGTTTAGATGAAGCATGGACAGAGAATCAAGACAGCTTTAATAACTTTTTACAACAACTCCAAAAGAGTCAAAATAATAATGCGATTCAAGTAGATGAAATTAAGACTGAATCAAATGAAAAGTCATTGGAATTGAAATCAAAACAAAGCAAAGCTCGTGTTCAGTAAGTATGACAAATCTTGAAGAAACATTATACAAACACAGGTGTTACTCAATTATAATTTTCCAATTATTAATAGCTATCACAAATTCACAAGAGGAAAGGACGTAAACAGATATAGTTCAAAAGATTTAGCGAACATATTCGGCCAGAAAGAATTAAATGTTAATAAAATCATCAAAAAAAGTGAAAACGACAACTTGGAAAATTCTGATTCAGATCCTGTTGGTACACAAGATAATAAGGGTGGTTTTATTACTATACGTGGTGGTAATATGGCAGATTATTTTCAAAGAAAGGGTCAAAATTTTCCCTTAACACCTAGAAAAAGAATACAAAACGAAAGTAATTCGGAAAGTGAATCTGAATATACTGGGTTTGGGTTTGCATCAGCTAGTAAAGAACAATCTAATGATACTAACGAAAAGAAAAAAAAAGAAAGTATTTCTAATTACGCTTTTGAAAATCCATGTTTAAGGTTAGGCAGCCCAGAAAATGTTTCTAATAATAATAATAATAAATTAGAATATTCGAAAAAAAGGAAAATATTTAATAACAGTGAATTAAATGTAAGTAATGACCCTAAAAAATTTAAAGATGATGTTCAAAGTGGTTACAAAAATGCTTTTGTAAATGCTGCTTTAAATTTAGAACCTACAATGAACGAAGCGTGTACTGGGAAGGAATTTGAAGTATCTAGAACACAATTTGGTGTTACAAATTCTGCCTTAGATCTACAAGACGAGGTAACTGATAAAAAGAAAGTCACATTTAATGACCATATAGAGTATAGTATTGATTCCGTGAAGAAAAAGAAGGGAAAATGCATGCTAGATAAATTTGAAATTGAAAATAAGAAATCTAAAAAGAAAAAGAAACAAAACAATACGAATATTTCTGTATCACTTGGTATTATTAACGAAGCTTTAGATGCTGAAGAAGTATCTGAAGAAATAAACGATAATGAAATTAACGAACGTAAAAATAAGAAACCAAAAAAGAGAAAAAGCAATCACCAATTAAATTTAGAAACAATAGTCGAAATACCAGAAGAAGATAAAGAAGCTGGTGAATATAAAATTGAAGGGGGGATAAATAAAGCGAATGAAAATGTATTTGATGGTATTATGCCTTTAGAAAATCATTCAAACAAAAAAGTAAAGAAGAAAAAAAAGAAGGAAAAAATTGATGAGAAAATTACAACCATCAATAAAAATAATAAACTGAATCTTCCGGAAACAGAAGTTGATAGAGAAATAGCAACCAAACTTGATAAGGAAGTAGATGATGCACCAAAACAGGCAAATCAAGAAGACTGTTATAAAGTGAAAAAACAAAAGAAACTAAAAAAGAAGAATACTGAAATAGATATAGGAGAGCATGAAAATATTGCTAAAATTCAAATACAAACTAATGATATGGAACATGTAAAACAAGAAACTGAAAACATGGAAGAAGAAACTGTGAAATTAAAAAGGAAAAAAAAGAAGAAATCAAAGGATAAAGATAAAAAGGATATTAGCACAGATGTAATTGTGAAATTAGAACAAGAAATTTCTAACAAAGAAAATGAAAACAGTAAATCTGTAAGTAGTTCTAAAGAGGAAAAACCAAAGAAAGTGAAACATAAGGAATCAATGGAAGATAATGTTGAATCTATTCATACCACGGAATCCATAAAAGAAAAAAGTGCAGAACCAGCAGTAAATACAAAAGTTACACATCCATCTTCGAAAAATACAAGATTTAATGCTAAATCTAGTCCTCGGAATGAAAAAACAAAGATGTCAAAGAAAATACTAATGTCTCTTTTTTATAAGAATTCTATTGCACATTTTCCAGGAGCCAATGTAGAAGAAATTAAAGGGTATGGTGCAGACATATACAATAAAGAGTAATTAAATTTCTCATAAAAAATGTTTTTAAAGTTTTGTGTATAATATTAGTTTTAAGAAAGCTATGTGTATTAACACATTGAGCGCCGGTCCTGTGAAAACGCGGGATTCTGAGTCTATCGCTTGAGCGCCGGCCCCGCAATAATAGGGATTTCTGGATTTTCGTTAAATTGTATATGACGAATATGCAATTAAAATGTACTATTTTATGAAAATGTGTAATGTTTTGAATATTTTTTTGGCTACTCATTGATCAGATACGAGCGAATGAGGCCGGAGTTTGGGCTAGTAGCCGATACGTTGCCAGCGCTCAAGCTTTAAATGTCTCTTAGGTCGCCAGCGCACAATGTGTTAATACATAATAATTCTTATTACCCAATGGTAATAGATCATGTGTTCTACAAATTGATTTAGTTCTATCATTTATTTATTTCTTATTGATATCGGTAGAACTTGAAAATATACCTTGTAAAATGTAATTTATATTGTTATTCTATGATTATTATTAATGATATTGCAAAAAATAATTATTTGTGAAGTATATTTTTTCTAATACATTCATAGTATTTCATTGTAATTTAAGGTTCTAATATATTATCTTCTATCTTGTCAACTTCATCAAGAGTGAAAAGTTTTTCTTTGAGTGCATTAACATTTTTCAAATCTGATTCACTCAATTCAACTTCAGATTTAGGCAAACATGTATCTTCTATTGATATTATGGAGTACCCCATATTTCTTAGCTGAGATACATATCTTGCAGAGTTACCAAACTCACATTTAAACTAAAACAATTGAAAATAATAATATTACATATTCCATGAAAAAAATATTTAGATTAATTTTTCATACCATAAAAAGTGGCTTATCATCCTCTATGACTTCTTCCATATCTTGAGCATTTATTTTTATTGCATCCTCCATTGCTTGATCTGCATTACAATCTTTTGAAGTTGTAATGTTACATATATAATCAAACCCCCCCAATGCTGCAGCATCTGCGAATGTACAACTATGCGCATAAAATAAATGAAATAAAATACTGCAATGAATTTATATTAGGAAGTAATATATGTTAAAATAAGGCTTACTTATGTTTTTTCAATTTAGCAGAAATGTTTCCTTTGGTTATAGTTATATTAGTTGTAACAACTTGTAAAACAAGCATAGCACCACCAGGACAACGTACTATGAACATCTCAGGTTTAGCATTTTGTTTCTGATTCTTTAGTCTATCTAGAGCTGCTTTCAAAGTTGCCCCAGGCATATTAGCTTTCTTAGCTTGATCCACAATGTTTGATAATTTTGGATTAGTACTAGGGTCTGTATTTCCAGTTTCTTGAAAAAAAATAATTATAATAACTTACACTTCTACCTTAAGGAAATGAGAAATACTGGAAAACACAATTAAATATGGAATAAATGTTTACAACCACAATCTATTCACATTTTAGGTTATGTACCTAGTACCGCAACTTTCATCTTAATAGTTAACGCACGGAAGATTCTTGATTTCTCAGCATCATTTTCTCCTTTGATATGCTTAATGTTTTGCCATTTACTATGTCCCGCATATCTTCTGCTTTCTTGAAGCAGAACATTTCTGTATTTATGGTAAAGTATGAAACTTGAACGATACGTCATGATTAAACATAACCTATATACAATAGGTTAGGGTAGGTATCTTACAAAATTCACTAGAAACGTTGAGACCAATCTCAGACTTGCTCTACAGCAGTGGCCGAATCCAAACTTATCTCCCACTCTTTCCTACCCCTTCTATGATTCTATTCCTCATCCGCGAGCATGCTCCTACATTCCCTTCCAACATCACCCGCAACATCACGTGATATACACGTGTAATGCAGCCGATGTGTTGGTAATGTCGGTTTCTACTTGTAAATAAAGTCAATTTCTGTTTCTTATTAGAAATCGTTTAACTATACATTTTAAATTCTTTTGTTAATATCCGTGATATTCTTTTTGTAAATAGTCAGTTAGAAACAAGTCGTTTTAAAAGTTGGCAGATAAAATATTTCAATATTATAATTGAATAAACATTGTAAATAAATAATATATTGAATGAAGCAACTCGCCAATATCGCAGGTAGCGCTGCCACCTATTGACAAGTCACAATATCACGTGACTAATCTGGTAATGCCAAGAATAGGGTACAGACGTGGTATAAGATACATAAAGATATTTACTTATAAGGAGATATAAGTATAATTCTAAATTTCAGTTCCAAATGGGCAGAAACGAACTGTAAACATGAAATGTAAAATATTGTTACACGTTCTCGGAGGTACTAGTAATACCCCTTACTATTTTCGCCCTGTAATATCAACTTAGGCTGGTTTTGCTCTATAAGTGATAAGAATTAGAATTAAAAATATTGAACACAGACTTAAAATGCGTACAGATTGTGCATGCAATGTATTTTTTGTTTACTGTTCTGAAATACCGACACCGTCAAAAATGCTCCGATGCATTGGCGGACTCTACCTGAAAGGAATAAAGATATCTCGTTGGTGAATGCACTATCACTTCCTACGTTATTATTGTAGCATATAACAGGCACCGTTTTATTATCGACAAGAGATAGCACGTCGATGATTTTGTGATAAACATGGCAACAGCTAGTTTTGGAAATGCCTGGAAATACTATGGAAAAAGTCGGAGGTAAGGAATTAAGGCACTTGTAGTTAGTATATTGTCAAATCTATTAAGACCGAAAAAGTCATAGAAAGAAAATTAGTAAGCTTTCTAAACATGTGCCTTGTATTTTAAGTTTTAATAAGAACTACTACTTATTAGCAAATAATTCATTACCTGAAAAACTAAAAGAAATATTGTCTTTGTAGTATTAATGTAAAATTTTTAAATGTTCATTTAGCCATACAAATTTCTAATTTTAACGATACTAACATTTTTTTATACTTTGATTAACGGGGTTTATTTAAAGTTAAATTTATCATACATTGTAAATGCTGTTTATGTAACTTTACGAAGAAAAATATATGGAAATTTTGTCAAAGATTTTTCTATAGTGTTACGAAACAATAGTTCAGAAGCTACTAAAAGAACTGCTATGCTCTACATTAAAAATGTTAATTAATATTTAAGAATTCGTGGTTAAAACGGAAGTAACAGAGGAACTAGATCAGAAACTGATTAAATTAGAAAGCGTCGCGAGGTCTTCGTGCCAGTGAACGCCTTCTTTATTTCAGCGGATGCTTTTATGATCTTGATGCTCCTTTGTGAAAATTAATTAACGCTAGCGGAAACGTTGTATCAATGACTTAAGACGAGGATTCTTGTGAATCAAGAACATAAATTCCATAGCAACTTCAATGTCGACGAACGATTTTATTGATATTTTACGATTGAACGATTATATTGTGCGATTTTATTTAATATTGATGAATTTTCTCTGATACAATGATCATCAATAATTCTTTGGAAATTGTATAAATTTACAAATGTAATCAGACACAGATTTATAACTGACTACTTAATTATGCAGCAAAAAAAAATACTAATGATAATGATACATTCAAGGACCGATAAACGTTTCCACAAAGCCTGTGGCATGTAAATAAAGATGTTTAACCAGAAGTTTTGTAATGCACAATATCCTTCCATTTGAAAAGCTTAAACAAGAAACATTTGAATCTCCGATGTAAGAACAAACAAACCTGACACTAATCTTTTTGTTAAATACATCATTGTTGTATTAATAATATATAGGATAATTGAATCTATATAACAAAAAGTGTAAAGAAATAATAGGCCAGTTTCGTTCTTCATGTACAACTAATTAATTTTATGAAAAATTATCTGTGTATGGATTTACTCGCTTAAAATTAAAACTATCATGTTATAATAGTTTAATTTAATAAAAAATTTCATAAAAACTCAATAATAAATTTAATAAAAATATGATAACTCAATAATAAAAATAAAATTTTACTGAAAAATAAAATCTCATCTTCCAATTAATTATTTCATTTTCAAAAATTCAATTTCTCCTGTTTATTCACAGACATACACATACATATGGGTAATAAATATTCATCTTAGATTCGTCGTTCAAAGCTCTTTGTATCACCAAAGAATTTCCTCAACATTCGTTCCAGGATTACTGTAGGGTGTCAGGGATTGCATAATTTTAATTTGTACAAGATTTTCCGAATAAGTATGCCTCCTTTAATCACAAGTTTTGGTCACTTCAATGAGGCTGCGGGCACCAGTGTACATAATCCACAATAGCCAATCAGTTTAATGCATGCTTTGCTACCGTGATTATGTCCTTTTCCAGCGAATCGAAAGGAGAAAAACGGTGACGATCTTGAATCGGAAATACGTTCTCTTTGCATTACATTAGAAGCGTGATTTCTTACACACCAACACCGTGGCGTTACAGTTTGTGATGCGAATTAAAATGAAGACGTTGAATGCTGCCGTCAGTCTTCACCGAGACTCTGACCGATTCCAAACGCGTGCCGGAACGACCAGGTGAATCAGACATCCTGTGGACAGTTCGATTTCTGTACGATCAGGTGATGATACCGAAATTAGATAGTGAATCCTCCTTCGTCACGGTGTAACTGTCATGATTTTAAATCGATTCTCCTAATTTGTCTCATATCGCCATAATGGTTTCAATATTTCGTTCAGTGCTGTGTACAATAATTTTGAAGAATATTAAAAATTCGAATTTATAAGAATTTTAACATTTTTGCAGTTTTTCAAAATTTCATGAAGAGAGAATAGACTGATGGATATGAAAATAATAGGAAATTCGTATAATTAGAAACTCAACTCAGACATAATATATTTTATGAAACTTTTCATTGAATAAAGAAGAATGTTTGAAAGTCTTCTATTTCATTGGACTTTATGTAGTTGTACTTGTTACAAATGTATATAACATAGTTTAGAGATTAGAACGTTGCTGTTTTTAGAACTTTATTGATTCATTTCATTCTTATTTTGCTTGTAGTTTGAATAACTGAAGCCATGGCTGCAAAGAAAATGATGCCTATACCGTATCCATACTCTTTAGAGGATTTATTAAGTAAAAATCTGCAACTGAAACTGTCAGATGTAGAGGCGTTGAGGGAATGGTGTGAGAAACAGCAACACTTACCGAAGATTCCGGATTTGCTTCTAATATTATTCTTGCATAGTAATTATTATAGTGTCGAAGCAGCAAAGACTACAGCCGATAACTTTTTCACCATTAGAACCCATGTACCTGAGTTTTTCTCCAATCGAGATCCGTTAGGATCGAAAAATCTACGACAAATTTTCAATGTAGTGTAAGTATTCTTCATTTTATATTTTTTAAATATTTTTTTATTAAAAATTACCATGGTAATAATTTGTTAATAATTAATAATTTGTTGTGAACATCATCTTTAGAATCATGTAAGGTAAAAGCACCAGTAGTTGATCACTTAAGAAAAATTTTTTGCGTAAATAATAGTAAACGTTTGCCCCTTTATTAAATAGAGAAACTCTATGCGTAAAATTACTGTTTAAATTTCTTACATCATGTAAAAAAGCGAACTTTATAAAACTTGAATAATATAATTATTTTGAAAAAGTTCGCTTCAATTTTGGAAACTCAATACTTACGTCAGAAGTTGATTATCCTTGGAAACGAGAAAACTAGTAACTGACCGCATGTGAGTTAGTGGTTGACCATTTATAGTAAAACTAAAAACACTAAAGGTGATTGCTTTAATACCGTTTATTTGCAACGATTTAGAAAAATTACAAATAAAAGGACAAATAGAAAGGAAAGGAAGTTAATTCTATATAAAACCTAATTCAGTAATATCGTAAATGTTGGGCCAGTAGATGCTGCAGGATATTCATCGCACCTTTGTCGAAAGATTATTACTTTCAAAACCTTATTTTTCACGTTTCCCTGAAAAATGGTCAACTACTGATACTAAGTTAATTACTGACGCCTTTACCTTAACTCTAGAATCTTTCATACAGTTCACAGCAAAAGTTCTTAATTATTACATGTAATGTTAATGCAAATATGTTTTCATACCCCTATTACAATAATCTTTCTTGTATCTTAATAATGAACCTGAAAATTATTTTTCCCTATATATAAATATATACAGGATGTGTTACCTATGTGGGAGCATCTATGATATCTCCAATATGTTTACATATCCTAATTAAGAAACTTCTCGAAACAAAGTGAAATTATTTCACGAGGCGCATTTGGTGACAATAAAAATAATTTTCTTCTAGGTCATCTCTATTATTTGAAATGAAACCTTATAATTTTTGTTGCATACTTTTATTGGAAAAATACTTAATATAATGTCCTTAATAATTATGTAATTTTCAATTATATAATCTCGAGGAAGAAGTTATAAAGGGTATAGCAGGATAACGGGGTCAAAAGTGAATAAAAGAATTGAGACTGTCATACTAATATGTCCACTACTGTAAAAATGAAAAAGTTGTCGCTCGGAAGGTTTATAGCGAAATCTACATTTTTATATTTCTTGGGGGGTTTACATTTTTCACGCTAAGGATTTGGAACGGAAGAATCTCAAAAAATTCTCAGCCATGCACTGGTATGCCAGAAATATTTCCAAAATTTTTCACAATTTTTACGTATCATTAAATAGAGTGAATAGAATAAAAACTGATAATTCGAATTTACGCTATAACTACCCTTCTGGTTCCGATAGGGGGCTGACAATTGGTGTACAATGTTTTCTATGGGTAAGCTATCGAAGGAAACTTTCTCGAGAAAAATCGGTCTAAGGGCACTTTTGACTCCCTTATCCTGCTGTACCCTTTCAGCGGAATAAGAAACTTGAATGTAACGGATTTCTAATCTTGGAACACAGATCTGTTGTTGGATTGCCGCAGTCATCGAAGCAAGGTTACAAAATTCTCTTCGCGAAATTGATAGACCCCAATCCTTCTCACTACTCGTTCGAGGATGCCACCAAGTACTTTTTCATGGTGTGCGACCTAGTGGGCCTAAAATCTCAGACAGTCGATGGATACATTTTTATCGGCGACGCGGCGAACGTATCTCTAGGGCACGTTGGTCGAATGAGTCCTATGGGGATGAAAAAGTTAGTGACATACGTTCAAGAGGCGATACCAGTTCGATTGAAGCAGATTCACTTCATCAACACACCGTCGGTGATGGACGTGATATTGAACATGGCCAAGCCTTTCATGAAGAAGGAACTTTGGAACATGGTGAGGAACGTTTTAATAATACAATAAGAGCTTTGATTATACAATTTAGTCATACGAAATGACACCAGAATATTATAATGTAAAAAGCTTCACTGCGAATATGCTAAGTGTTTTAGGACAAGATAGTTATATCCTTGGATGAATAAATCTTCGGTATTAGATTCATGAATATAAAAGTTTACTACAATTAAAGTTTTTTCGTAAATAGTATCTTTCAGACATTTGGTTCAATATAGTTTTTAGTGATTATGTAAACTTTTACGATAGTGAAGCATGTTCTGATTCTGACTTTGACATGTGTTGCTAAGGACATTCTCCCGAGTAATTTCTCGTCATTAATGATTAAAAATACAGCAGAAAGAGACTTACATTTAATGAAATGATTTTACTAATATTATGTTAATATTATATTAATATATTTATTATTCCATATTAACCCGTTGCGGTCCGTGTATTTTCTGCGCCTGTAGGTACAGTGCATTATTGACATGATCCCAACCGATCGGAGGTTCAAAAGTGAAGAGGGGCAAAGGGATTCAGTCGCACGCTCCACCTCAGTTCGCGGCTTGGCCAGTAACAAAGACGTGCCGAAATTAATTCTGCCATTACTATTGGGCTGAGCGCCACGAGTGGACGTCTTCCCTTGCCCCTCTTCACTTTTGAACCACTGGCCGAATGGGATCATGTCAATAAAGTACTGTAGTCTATTCCAGGAACAATTAGGTAATATTTTGTAAATCACAATACTCTGAAAAAATGTAGCAGTTTTTACAGCAAATAGTAAGGAGATGACACATGTAAGGCTTTTATCAAAGTAATGGTATCAGCTATACATTCTTTTTTATTAGTATAATTAGAAAATAAAATGTTGACAGTAATGCTGGTAGTTGGAGTAAAATTTGTTTAAAAAGTTCGCTTGGAGAATATAGTATTTTTAACAATTATGTAATGATTTGTTAACAGTGCCGAACAACAAGTAAAATCTCTTAAAGGTTACCCAAGGCAATATCTTCAATAACATATATCAAGGTCATTGAACTGGTCATCATCTATAGTAAGAATAAAGAAAAATGTTTTATTTTTAACAACTAATAATTTCTTAAGAACTTTTAACTTTCTAGTCGTCAAACTTTTTTAAAGGAAGTATAATACAAGCATTAGACTATTTCCTTATTAAAATTCAAGATTCAACTTCAATGGTAGCAAATGTATGAAAATAGTAGGATGTTTTTATTAAATAATTCATTATGGGTATTTTATGTAATAAACATACGCACTAGAAAACAATGAATTATGGAAACAATGATCCCCTTACGTTAGATGTTGCTCGAATTTATAATTTCTCAACGTTATAAAAATGATGAATAACGTTTCAGGAACCATATTGTCTGAATAAATATATAAAACATATATTAACCATCGGAACTGGTAATATAAATATTATTTCTTAATTCATTTCTCAGTAAAATCTTTTAATTTATTTTTTTCGTATCTCCCCAGAACCCTCAGAATGTTCAATATATAATGAATTAATCCGAGCTCTTAATTAGATTTTAATTAATTCACATAATATAATGGAAATTCACGTTTTAACCCCTTGCTCTATGATTTATTTTGTAACTATGATCAGTACAACTTCTTTATCGTTAATAATTTATTAGAAAAAGAAACAATTTTTATGCTTATTCTATGTCTACGTTTACTCCAAAGATTAACGATTGATAATAAAAAATTAATATTTAATTTATATTTAAAAAAAAGTAAATAACACTTAAATTTCTGAAATTTAGTTTAAAATTTTCGTCGCCAGTCTGACACGATATTATAGATCAAGGAGTTAATGAAATCTTAATTTCTCTATTTTTATATAATCTCCAATTTAATAATAAATGTTACTACAATATAATATTTGAAGGATTACATTAGTATTGTGCAATTCGTAAATTCATTAAATAATAAAATCTACATCAATCAACCAATTACGAAGACTTATAAACTTCTTGTTTCCAATTTCATATTTATTGTAATAAATTGTCTTTAATCGAATTTGTTTTAGATACATTTGCATTCGTCAATGAAATCGTTAGAGGAATTCGTTTCTCTCGATACACTTCCAAGCGACGTCGACGGAGAACAAGAATCATTGTCCAAGATGCACGAAGAATACATAAAAGAGATCGACAGCAAGCGTGATTGGTTCGTAGAAGAAGAGGAACTTGGTCACGTAGATGAGTCTCAACGTGTTGGGAAAAGCAAAACTGCGAATGATTTGTTTGGTGTTGAAGGAACATTTAAGAAGCTCGAAATTGATTAAAAGTTCCTTTAATATATATAACCAAATTGCAGATGTTTATGCAAATTCAAATTTTTAAGAACATAATTAGAAAAATGAAACTACGACGGAAAAAAATACTTCTTAATGAGTACTATAAAAATTTTCGTTTCCGGTTTTACGAATGTAAGATGCATTAGTGATTAGCTTATTTATTATACTTAAAATCAGTATACTCTAACATTATATCGTTACCAGGACTGGGTAGTAATAAATGAAGGCGAAGATTTTAAACGTTGAACGGATTATTTTTAAATAATGTATTTATTAACATTAGAAATAGGAAACTATCCGACTTCTGGTTCCTTGCGTTGATTTGTCTGCATCAGTAGTTTAAATTTTCTTATTTATTAGCTCATTTGCATAAAAGTCTCAAAGCATGATAACTTAGAAGAATGACTGGTAAAAATGATTTCATTATGTAACTGAAACGACTCAGGTAGCTATGGAGACATTAAAAAACGACTTAGGAAGCAGTAGATAGAGTAGTGGTTTTTTTCGAAACAAAAAAAATTATAGAGTGCTCCAAATAGAAAAAACATGTCAACGGTATAGAATTATCGTGGTGCAGTGGACTGCAATTTTTATTCTTAGTATCTATATCTCAAGGCTCTTTCAAAAAACGAGATATAAAATTAAAATGTGAGTAGTTATGATAACAGGGAAGTATTCTGAAGTTAAACAATTTGTGACACTAAAGTAGCAATCCTGGCAGAAGAATAATTTGCATTCTACACGAGAAGAAATTGAAATTTTTTTTCGTGACACGCATTTTTTATAAAAGATTGAGATAAATAAAATGAGTATCTGTATTGCATAATATTTAATCTCTTGTCCTATGGTTTATTTCACGACAGTTCATCGTAAAACCATTTTATTGTTAATACTTTATTCTGTCTGTGTAATAAACGCTTTATAGTAAATAAAGATTAACGATTGAAAATAGAAAAATAATATTCAATTTATATTTAAAAAAAATAAATAACATTTCAATTTGTTGAATTCAGTTACAAATTTTTATCACAAGTCTGAGACGATATTATAGTACAAGGGATTAAATAAATATTTATTTCAATAAATAACTTTAATCAATGTACAATATTACTCTTGGATTTGTGTTATATTAAAACATGGCAGAATTTTAATTTATATAAAATTAATTTGTTATATAACACTTTATTGTAAACAAGAAAGGGTAATTTGAATAATTATTATATAAATCAATGGACTTTATGCACTTATAATTTTTCCAAAAAGTTGTATTCATTACTTGAGATATGTGCAATGAGTTTAATTAAATCTTTTAGAGCGTAACAAATATTCTGTTTCTCTTTCTTTACAAATTCTTTAGAGCCTCGTTATGTGGGTAATGCGAAATTAATTATATGGTATGTTATTTTGATTGCTGTACGCATACATTTCAAACATAAATAGAGCGATCAGAAAACAGTATTCAATTGAATACAATTAACTTAGATTTCACGTACTAATTGTTTCGTATTAGTATTTACAATCTCGCGAAATAAATATTTTAACTCATATCTAATAATCTCTAAAGTTAATGGGTGTAATTACTGTCTTCTAAATTTTTAACAATTTGAAAGCAAATATATAGTCCATTAGAAATCATCTCCTATATTAGCAGTAATACAAATATAAAACTTCGAACAACATAATTAAAAATTGAAAACATATTATATAATAGAGTATCATCTGCAATATCATGGAGGGTACTTAGTTTTGTTTGTCATGGAAATATTTATGTATAACTGGTGTAATACATACGTAAAATTTTCGCTTGCTCAGGATGAATAGAAGATATCTGGAAAAACACATGCATATATCAATTATTATATTAATATTTTGAATTTACAAATTTGTTAAGTTTATTTAATTCTACTGTTTACAAAATTTCCTTTTAAACATAACTGATTTTATATTTCATCAATTATGTAGTTTATTCACTCAATATAATTGTATTACGTTCAATTATGTTTTTACATGATCTTGATTAAATAATAATTATTTTCCTCTTTTTACACGATTTGTACGATTTAACAAAAATTTAAAAAAAAATTAATTTTCTTTTCACACGATGTAGTCTCATTTAACACAATCACCCAAATTGTAATATTTAATATAAAATATATAATATTTTTTTTACAAAGAACGTATATACCGTGCAAAAATAAAATTGGGTGTATTTAAATTCTTATTAGTAATTGAAATCCAATATGAAATCATGATGCAAAGAATAATTTCATACACAGAAAAATATACAAAAACTGACAGTGTAACGAATATTCAATTTTCATATCATTTCGGAATATATAATTTGAAAGCTGCTAGTCTGACAACCTCGGCAGTCACGCAATACGTGATTACATGATATTAGCTTGTCCCATTAGATCTTAAGAACTCAATTGCACTTGAATGTCTACAGGAGTCAGTATCATTCAAGCTCCCGACTTGATCATCACGGAATTATTTTCTTTCGGTACTAAACTTGGTAGTACAACGGTTTCTATTATACTTCATTATAGTCTCAATATCAGGTTATTTGTAATATTTTACAATAAAAGTATCGATACATCCATTAGTTACATAAAAATATAATAAAACTAGAAACTACTGATTATTTCAGCTGCTTTGTGGAACATTGAATGGAATAATATACAACACTTTTAGTTGAAATCACATTACGTTGTAAAAATCTTACAATACTTGTGGAGACAATTGTTTTGATATAAAAAAAAATAAGAAATTAAATTACAGACTTAATGAATTGTAATAAATTCTTTCTAGTTTAGCGATTTAACGAAATCACAATGACGAAACCAGTGTCGTATGAGGAAGAATTGAGGAGGAATCCAGACATGAAGGAAGAAGAAATACAAATGTTGAGGGATTGGTACAAGAAGCAACCTCATTTGCCGAAAATGACCGACGCCGAACTGGCGTTATTTTTTCATAGTAATTATTATCGATTGGAGCCTACAAAGGTGTGCATCGACACGTATTTCACTGTAAGGTCTCACGTCCCAGAATTTTTCTCAAATAGGGATCCGTTAGGACCGAAAGAATTAAGGAAAGCTTTTCAAACAGTGTGAGTGTTTACAACATGGAATTATTTATGTTTAAGTCAAATAAAGTTATTGAACAAAATTTATTTATAACTGGTTAACGAAATAATTATTTTTGGTTAAAAGAACAAACAGTTAGAGATAGTGTTTTTTCATTATTATTGTTATAATGATACTATTTTTGTTAAGAAAGCAAGATACAAAAGATACGTTTCATAAAAGAACAGAAACCTCTATCAATTCTCTCATATTTATGCTTAAATCATAGAGAACAGAACAATTAACTGCATATTTCCCATTCACGCAAACGTGCTAATTTAAAACAATGCTAAGATTATATAATTTTCTCTGAATTTTCATGTTCTCTTTTCTAACAGAAATATTAAACTAAATAGATAGACAACACAAATATTAAACTTATCTATAATATATAAGTAAATATTTTAATGGTTGATTATGGACTATGTAGTAACCGATTTCAATAACAAGCGCGTTTCGTATAGAACTTCACCAGTAATATCGTAGAACTCGAACCGTATTTTTATCATCTTTCATGGCCATGACTTCACATTCTCACGCTTCAGTTGTCCTCACTGCACATTGCCGTAACTGTTAATTGCGTCGGGTTACATAGCTTCCTGATTACTATATGTGCTTCGCAAAATTTACCGATTTATTGGACAATACAATAAAATGCTTGGTACCTAGTTATACTTGCTTTTACAACAGTAATAGAATACATACAGTGACTTACGAAAGTATTTGAACACTTACCATGAAATACTTTATTAATTATAATAAGTATGTTATACGACTCTTACCGAAATATTATAAACATTGTAAGGAGGTATGTCTCTCTAGATTATATAGGTAAAGTTTGAAGAAAGTCGAAAGATATATACAATAGTTATGAATTATTTCCTATAAACGTAAAGATTGTTGAAGCCACAAAAGTGTTTGAACATATAGAAATGAGTTTCAGAATCAATGAAAACGCAGTGAATGTAAACATTGAAAAATTAGTCGTCATCGTATATACATTTGTTAGTCTAAAAACATCTGAAATTCCTAAAGGCGAGGGAAAATTAATTGTCAAGTAGCGTAAAGAGGGAAGCACCTATAGTAAAATAAGTAAATTATTAAATATAAATAGATCTACAATACATTATATTATTAAAAAATGGAAATTTGAAGGAACTGTCAAAAATAAATACCGTTCAGGCCGACCAAAGATACTAACGGAAAGAGATGACAGAGCTTTGATAAGTGAAGTAAAAAAAAATTCAAAAATTTCTGCTACAAAACTTGCAAAGATAGTTAAACAGAACTTCGAGAAAGGTGTGCATCCAGAATTATGCACAAGAGTGCCACGTAAAAATAATTATTATATCAGGGTTCCCAGAAAGAAGCCATACATTAGTGATATTAATAAGAAGAAGAGATTAAAGTTCCCCAAAGAATTTATTAGTAAAGATAACGTATTCTGGAATAAAGTAATATTTTCAGATGAATTGAAATTTAACGTTTTTAGTTCGGACGGACGTAATTTTATTTGGATACAAGCAAATATAGAGATGAAAGCCAAAAACTTGCGTGCTACGGTGAAACGTGTGGGTGGCTTAGTTATGATCTGGGGGTGTACGGCAGCAGACAGCACCGGGAATTTGGTCTTCATAGAGAGAACAATGGATAAATACAAATATTTGAACATTTTACAACAAAATTTAAAGGGAAGTGCAAGAAAATTGGATATATACGAAGACTTTTACTTTCAACACGATAATGATCCTAAACATACTGCAGGAATTGTTAAGGAATAGATCATATATAATACCCCCCACATGTTGGTCACATCACCACAAAGCCCTGATATTAACCCAATTGAACATCTATGGACAATAATAGAGAAAGAATTACAAAAATTTAATATGGCATCCAAGTCAAGTTTAAAAGAAAAAATACTGGAAGTGTGAAATTTTGTATCACCGAGTGTTACAGAAAAATTAGTAAACAGTATGCATAATCGGTTACAAGATGTCATTCGTGCCAAAGGTGGACCTACTAAATATTAAAGATTGAAAAGATACCTTTTCAAATACATTCGTGGCTTAAACAATCGTACGTACGTTTATAGGAAATAATTCATAACTATTGTATATCTCTTTTGACTTTCTTCAAACTTTACCTATATAATCTAGATAGTCATACCTCCTTACAATGTTTATAATATTTCGGTAAGAGTTGTATAATATACTTATTATAGTTAATAAAGTATTTCATGGTAAGTGTTCAAATACTTTTGTGAGTCACTGTAAGTCACCGGTGACCCCGATAGCATTCAACGCGTTAAACAACTATGAAGTAGATAACTGAGAGACTATTAAGAATATTTAAATTCTTAATGAAAGTATATAATAGTAAGAGAATCTTACTATCTAACAGAAAGTATATAAATGTCGAAAAGATATTTTCAATATTTTGAAATGGTAAAACATTTGTTACAGCACGATTCAGGTATTAGAGAAGAAAACTAAGGAAGGATACTCCGTTCTGTATGGGAGACTAATGGATATTGACCCGTCACATTATGTTTACAACGATACCATGAAATATCTGACCATGGTCTGCGACTTATGGCTTCACACACAGGGCACGGTGCCGGGTCATATTATATTGTTTGATATAAAAAATGTCGTTCTTGGGCATGCCGCCAGATTAAGTCCCATGGGATTGAAGAAGTACCTTTATTACCTGCAAGAAGCACTTCCCGTCCGTCTGAAAGGATTTCATTTTATGAATATTACGCCGGTGATGGACGTGATTCTAAATATGATGAAGCCGTTCATGAAAAAAGAGTTAATGGACATGGTACGTAATCATCTCTTGTAGTATTCGTTATTTTAATTATTGTTTGAAATAGAATTTTGTTTCGTGAGGACATCTTATAATGTTTGCAAATCGTATATAGTTGAACGTTTCTGTGAGGTTTCAAGATAATCGTTGTTTTTTTTTAATGGAACTTAATAACTTTGAAACAGTCTGTTAAAGTCATATTAATAATTTTAAATAGAGTAAGAAGTTTGCTTATAAGAAATGAAATATCTCAGTTAGAACGGATATTTGAATAATTACTTCCACATATTTTTATATATTACTAATTATATAATTTATATATGTTATATAATAAGTCTATATACTTCTATATATTATTTGAAATATTATTTATTGTTTTAATTCAGCTTCATACACATACGACGTTAGACACATTGGCAGAGTTCCTTCCCATAGACATATTACCGAATGAAACTGGTGGAAAAGCTGGCCCAATAAAAGAGCTGCATGAAATGTCTGTGAAGAGACTTGAAGACAATCGAGAGTACTTTTTACAAGAGGAGAAAACGCAACGTGTAAATGAAGCGCTAAGGCCTGGCAAAGCAAAGTCTGCTACTGATATCTTCGGTGTTGAAGGAAGCTTCAAGAAACTTGAAATTGATTAAATCAAGTTTTCTAACATAATATTAATTCATAAAACAACAAGTTTTACATTTTCAATTAATTTAAGCCTAATTAAACACTAGCGAGAACAAATTATCACGTTATTACAGTCGGTAAAGTTATCGAATGATATTTAATGAAAAGCTTGCATGAAAGATGGCGCCACACACACGGCTAAACTAGTATTTAAATTATTCTCGGCCGCCATTTTGATTTGTTTATGAGTTTAAAAGACAATAAAATAATATTAATTATTATTTCGAAATGGTAATAACAAAATAATTTATTAGTTATTATTAATTTTCCTATAAATGTAATACCGATAATGAGTTCTTAGAAATTTTGCTAATGAGTTGATAATGAGTTCTCATAAATGTTGCTTCTAAAAATTAAAAAAGTTAAAATGTCCTTTACGTAAAATGAGTTAATGAATCATATAACTGCAGGATAAGGTGTTTATGTAAGTGCCAAAACCACAATCAAAAATAAAATATTGTATTTTATTCCGATTTATATTTTTGTATTTATTATTAGTACATAATACCTACAGGCACTTTATTATACATTGGTGATTGTCAAGGTACTAAAAACATTTGACGATTATGTAATCGATTCCAGAAAACAATGTCTGCGATAAAGTAAGCTGATTTTCGAAACATTTTAAAGTAGAAATTTCAAGTAAAGCTGATATAAAAAAAACATGCAAATTTTCAAAATACCAAGAATATATTACTAATAAAAATTATAAGTTCGCAAGTATTACTAATGATAGACACGGAGAAGACAGTTTTTCAAAAGTTACGTTATACATCCAAGAATTTTTAGGCTATGCAGTCAACGTGCTTCTTGAATTAATGGATATATTTAACAAAACATGAATAGCTTCGTTGACAATCCATTTCTATTTTTCGTGGATGATCTAACGCCTGCTTTTACCGTCAATTCCGTTGGAGACTCTAGGAAAATTGTTGAACTTTCTGACGTAGGTTGCGATGCAATGACACCGAACATGATTTTACAAAATAATGCTACTGACTATTCCGTAAGAACCACTAAAATGAAAGAAGGTAGCAGATCGCGGTACGAAGAGAAATCAGCGAGCAAATTCTGTAAAGGAAGGTTACGTCAAAATGATCATGTCACAGGAAATGTGGAAAAGGTATATTCAATCTCTAAAGAAGATGAAAATCTACGTCAGGTACATATAAATTTTTATTTTTAAGATTCTAAATTCTAAAATTCTAAAGCTACAGGTTCTTCATTAAAAATTTACCATGTTACGTATCAAATAATTATTATATGAACATATATATATATACACGAAATTATATAAATATAACCATTTAACAGCAGAGCATTCCGAAATCCTGAACACCGTTGAAAGAATATGTCAAATATTTTTATGAAATCTATATTATACTTTAATTTCATCAAATTTGACGATTGGCATTTCGGAATTCTACTCTGTAATAAGCATGCTTTAAATAGGAAAATACCATTAGTTTCTTTTACCATATATTTTACTGTTAGCACCGTAGGAAAAAGTCATCAGCCTACGATGATGTGAACGTTGCAACAATCAGTAGAATTGCAGACACACAAGGCAACAAGCTTAATTCAACATTACCATCAGGAAGACCAAGATCTTCTTACAGGAATAATGAAAAGTTCCACGAAACGCAACCAGGGATTCATCGTGATCACGATATAGTACAATCGAATTTCCGAAAAGAATCAATTAACGACCAGTTAACAACACATAAAAGACAAAGAGCTTCTCGATCTACCCCTCCTACTTGTCTTAAATTCGATGTGAAAATTAACGACGAAGAATCAATTACTGATAAGGGAAAAGCCGTAGTCACTCTGGAACCGGATTATCCGGAAATCTTTGATCGAAACGTCTCAAAGGATCGTTGGCAAACTTTAAAAACAGCCGCAGGCAGGAACACCAAACAATTCATCGATGAAACATTACAGAAGAAGCAACGGACATCGAAGTGTCACAAAAACTCGAAGATTCTAAGTTCAACAACAGCAGGCGAAGCTGCAAGACGCCTTATAGAGTCTCGTGTTAATAAAATACGCTCTAGAACAAATTCTCCGCCAAACGATCGGCAAAAAAGAACTCGGCCTTTCTCTAAACCACCTGTTAAAGAATTGGAACGAACTAAAAATGTACAAAACCCTAAGGTTTGTAAAAGTTGCAAGTCTCCAGCGGATAATTTGGACTTCAATCGAAAGAGAAGTCTAAGTTTCGTTCGATCGTCAGAGAAAGTTCGAAAATTTGTAGACCGTGCAGTGGACAGGGATAGTTTGTCAGAAGTTTTGAAAGTGTCTACTTCCATCGACGCGACTGTAGCTCCGGAGCCTCCAAATAACACTGAGAGAAATGAAGAAATCACTGGGTATTGGGAATTTATTCCTCTGGACGAAAGAAACGATAAAAAGTACTCGACTATTAAAAATTGGAAGCCTTCGTGCTTGGATCATAGGATTCATCGAGATGTAAATCATCCACTAACACAATATCTGATGAATAAACGAGACTCTTATTGGTCTGAATCAAAAGAAAATTATAATCGTAGGAGCACTTTCGATTTAGATCAGAAAATGGACCTTGAGAATTTGAAGTGTTACGAGTCTTCTTTAGAATTGAATTCTACGAATTCTGAAAGAATGATAAAAGTTAATTCGAAACTAGAGACGAATCCAGGTTTTAACGAAAATGGTACAGTAAATTTAAATGTTGAAACAATTAGGGACACTAAGGAATATTCTGGAAATGGTCAAGATCGAAGCTGGGGTGATCCTGTGAATCAACGAAAGACTAACTACGTGCCATCTTTCGGGTGGACTGGTAAGAATCAACAGCTAAAAAGATGTAATGACACATTGAAGCCTGAAATAGTGATTGACAAGAAGAAAAAGATGAATAATGAAACTGTGGATGAGAAACAGGCTGAGATGAGGATTTTTGGAGAGACTGCTGCGTGCTTAAAGAGGAAATTGGAGTCTCAGACGAAAAATGCTTCACTTGGTAAATCTTCTGTGCCTAACATAGAGAAGAAGATCCGATCTCAGGTTTCCACTTGCTCCAGATTGCCAATTAGAATAGGCAATCGGTTTAAATCCAAAAATCCTATCGCGTGGAAGTTTCTGGGTAACTTGAAGAACCGATTTCCTAATAAAGAAAAAGATAGAAGTCCAGAGGTCTTGAATTCGGTTAGATCTAGAACAAAACCCAGAATAAAATCGAGCATAGAGCATCATAATATTAATGTCGATTCTATTAAAACTTCGACCTGTCCAAGATCTGTGGAAAATTTTCAGACGAATGAAGGAATTAAGGGTTATGTACAGAATCGAAAAGGAGAGACAAAGTTGATAGAGAATGGTTTTATGAATGGATTAATTCAAAATAGGAAGGACGAGGAATTAGGAGATAAGATCGTAAAGTGTGAAGTTGAGAATTTGAAGTATGTAAATGTAGAGCAAGAATCACGAAAAAAAGACTTTGCGAATCATTTATATGGGAGGAGGGTAAGTGAAGAAAATATTAATGTAATGAATCAAATGGATATTGAAGTTGGAAGAAATAGTTTTAAAGATAAGTGTTTCTTTCATTTCCATGATGAAGAAAATATGATTTGTAATACATATTGTAACAAGAATTTATTGCCATCGGAGAGAGGAATGAATGCCAATCAAGTCACGACTGTAAAAGTTAGACTGTAAGAAGAAGTGTTCTATTGATTCTTGAATCCTTCCCTATTCTTGATATCACTGAAATGATCTTTTTATATTCGTCATTGAATACTTTGAAATAATAAAATATGGTTGGAAATTATTGATGTTTAACACTTAATATTATTAATAATTGATAATTATTATTATAATTTTTATTATTATAATATTTTATTTCGTGCAGTTACTGTATTTTAAGAAATTCTGTTTTTACAATCCGTTTATAATGTTTAACATTCTTTTTTATTTTATGACATGATTGAGTTAATGCGCCAATTTCTCAATTAGGTTGAAACTTTTGTTCAAAGAGTTCCTACAGTTTTGCACTCAAACTTTTCTAAACTATGTAGGTACACTCAAAGAGAAGGTTCTGATTCGAAATCTCGAGGGTACTCAAAGGCGAAAATGGCAAAGGAGTCACAAATGGCAATCACAGGGCTAAGTGCTAACCCAATCAAGCAACCAGTTTCTCTTCATCCCTCTATCTTTCATTCAGACAGAGAGTTCAATTCGACATTCTAATTTCGATTGTTGTCGCGAAGGTGTAACATTTTTTATGCGATGTGCATAAAGTATAAATATTGTTCAGCTAGTATTCATTACATTAACTGGAAAATTAATTTTTTGTCTTTAAACATTTGAAAATACCTATTTCAGGGATTTTAAATGAGAATTTCATATTTAGGTAAATGATTTTTCAACAGTCATAATATATATCTAAACATGTTTAGAATTAGTTGTAAAATATTATATATATATTATAATTGTATCGCACTGTTGGCAATAGAATTAAAGTAGACATGATTCAGTACTATTTTTATCATCTGATTGTTCACTCATACAAACAGGATATAGTGTAATCAAAAAGTACAATAAATTCATTTAATATCTTTTATAGGTATATCTGATGTCTGCATAATTGGAATATATCTTGTATAAAATTAAATTTCTTAATACCTTAAGTTCTTCAAATTAAATTTCTTATAGTCCTTCTGACCTCCCATTGGAAGACTATTTGATTGACCACAAAATCTTTGAAAAACAAGCGAATACTGAAAATATATTCTATAATGTTCATTTAATTCTTCATTTAAAAGAAAACTTGTAAAATCAGTTCTTTGCTTCTTATTTTCTGCAGTTACTCGATTTGACCATTGAGTGACCATTTTCCATCAAAACAAGAATAAGCCGTACATGGTCCTAATACTTTATACATTTTGCATGCTCTTTAGATTAAGGCTATACTTGTAATAATAAAGTAAAAATCATTCTGTAATTTTCATTTAATTTTCCATTTAACCCAATTCAATCATAAAGAAGTATGAAAAAGCTAATAGTGACCAGGAAAACTGAGTTAATCGATTTGACCATTGAGTGGCCATTTTGCATCTAAACAAGAATAAGTTGTTCATGGTACTTACCAACAGCTTTTTATTTTCTGGAGAACGATCGGCCAAAGGGAAAAAGAAGAAGATCGTCGCGATCATCATTATGATCGAGTTCCATGGATACTATAATCCGGTGATAGTCACGCGGAGGGGCTTAAAGCCTCGCCGCTGGCCATAAGTCATTTAGTCGGCGGAGAGGTGAACCTGACGGGGACACGGTGAATCCAGCCGAGCGGTCGTCCGGTTGGAGAGCGAGAAACTGAAAGAGAAGTGTCCCCGAAAATCGTGAAACCCACGCGGCCGGGCTGGGTTAATATATTTTATCTAGTGGAATATAT